TAGCGAGACTGTAGCTGGTTGCACGAAGATTGTCGAAGCAACAAGCAAGGAAGAACCCATGAAACTGAAATGCTGGAACTGTGGTAAAGCTCACTTTGCCAGGGAATGCAAAGCGAAGCTGTGGTATTGCAAGAAGTGCAAGAAGACAGGTCACAAGGAGAAGTTTTGCGAACAAGTGGCTGGGAGAAAAGCAGTCGTTCAGCAAGATTTGAAACGAAGAATCCACAGAGGCAGGGACACCAGTAAGAACAGAAGTTGGAGAAACCGAAACGTCATGTTCATAGTATCGCGAAGATTGCGAATGCGATGATGGAAGTGAATTCGACTCGCGTATATGTAGAAGCGAAAGTAAATAACCATCCAGTTAGGTTTCTACTGGACACAGGATCAGATATCACCTTGCTGAACGAAGCGGTTTGGAGAAGCATGGGTACTCCACTGTTGGAAAAGACAAGCGTGATCGTTAAGAATGCTAGCGGAAGCTCCATGACAGTTCATGGAAAGCTATGGTGTGAGTATCAGATCAAAGGATCCAGAAGCGAAGACTACGCATACGTGACGCCCCACAACTCACTGCTAGGATTGGAGTGGATCCAGAAAAACGAAGATATGTCGTATCACTTAAGCAGAATGGTTGCTGAAGTGAGGACAGAGCAAACCAGAGACATCGCTCTGAAGCTGAAGGAAGCCTATCCAGAAGTCTGCAAGGAAGGTGTAGGGCTCTGCACGAAGGAGAAAGCACACATGAAAATTAACGAAAACGTTCGTCCCTTTTCAAGGCTTGCAGGCCTGTCCCCCATGCTGCGGTCGAAGCTATCGAAAAGGAGTTGGATAGACTACTGGAACTGAAGGTCATAAGTCCAGTAACACATAGTGAATGGGCAGCTCCCATTGTGTGTGTTAGGAAAGCGAATGGAAAGTTGAGAGTGTGTGCTGACTTCTCAACTGGACTCAACAAAGCGCTGGAGTCGTATGATTACCCGTTGCCACTGCCGGAGGATATATTCGCATCCCTCAATGGAGGCACGGTATTTTCGCAGATAGATCTGTCGGACGCCTATCTGCAAATCGAGTTGTCGGAAGAAGCGAAGAAATTGGTCGTAATAAATACGCATAGAGGACTGTATCAGTACAACAGACTGCCTTTTGGAATCAAGACAGCACCAGGGATCTTCCAGCAAATCATGAACAAGATGGTGAATAATCTGCGAGGAGTAGCAACCTACTTAATCGACATCTTGGTTTGTGGAAGAACCGAAGAAGAACATATGGAGAACTTGCTAGCTGTTTTTGCAAGGATAGCCGAATATGGATTCAGGATTCGGTTAGAGAAGTGTTCTTTCGGCAAGCCAGAAATACGATATCTCGGCTTCATAGTAGATCGAAATGGCAGAAGACCGAACTTAGCGAAGATCGAAGCGATCAAGAGTATGGATGAGCCGAAGAATGTTAGTCAATTGAGGGCCTTCCTTGGCATGATAACGCACTATGCGGCGTTCATGCCAAAGATCAAGGATCTTTGTGGACCGCTAGATGCGATGCTGAAGAAGGATGCGAAGTGGGAATGGACACGAACACATCAAGAAGCATTCGAAAAGCTCAAGGAAACTTTGTCAAGTGAGCTGAAGCTTGCTCACTATGATCCGAGGCAGAAGATCGTCGTGGCAGCGGACGCAAGCGACTATGTATCGCGTGTGTGATATCGCATAGATATGCGGATGGATCCGAAAAGCCAATTGCACACGCATCGAGGTCTTTTTTCGAAAGCAGAAAAGAATTATTCGCAAATCGAAAAGGAAGCCTTGGGAATTGCCTTTGCAGTCAAGAAATTCCACAAGTACATATTTGGACGAAAATTTCTACTTCTGACGGAACATCAACCATTGTTAGTCATCTTCGGTGATAAGAAGGGAGTTCCAGTCTACTCCGCTAACCGACTTATGAGATGGGCTACAATCTTGCTAGGATACGACTTTGACATAGAGTATGTCAAGACTACGAAGTTCGGGCAAGCAGATGGTTTGTCAAGGTTAATGAAGAAGAACCAAAATCTCGAAGAAGATGTCGTGATAGCTGCCGTTGAGAATGACGTTGATACATGTTGAAGAGCTGCATAAGAAAACTACCAGTGACGGTATCTGACGTACGAACCTGGACGAAGAAGGATCCAGTATTAAGAAAGGTACTCACTTACGTGCAGAAAGGAAATTGGCCAGAAGTAAATGGAGAACTGGCACATTTTCGAAATCGAAGGGAGACATTGTCAATCGTGGAACAATGTCTGATGTCAGCCGAAAGGGTTGTGATACCCAAGGAGCTTCGAAGAAATGTTCTGAAGGAACTACATAGTGGTCATCCAGGTATTGTAAGGATGAAGAAACTGGCTCGAAGTTACGTCTACTGGCCGAATATCGAAAAGGATTGCGAAGACTTGGTACGAAGATGCACGAAATGTCAGGAGTTAGCCAAAAATCCGACGAAGGTACCACTAGAAGCATGGCCGTCCGCGACTCGAGTGTGGCAGAGGATACACATCGACTTCGCTGGACCTATGCAAGGAGTCTTCTACTTGGTCGTGGTAGATGCGTACAGCAAATGGCCGGAAATGATCGAGATGAGCAACATCTCAGCTGCGAAGACGGTGAAGGCTTTGAAGAATTTGTTTGCGAGATATGGATTACCGCAAACAATAGTGAGCGACAACGGTACTCAGTTCACGTCGGACTTATTCAAGAAGATGTGACGAAGGTGGAATCACACATATAAGGACTGCTCCGTACCACCCTCAGTCGAATGGACAGGCAGAGCGTTTCGTTAATACGCTGAAACGCGGAATCAAGAAACTAGAGGGGGAGGAGAGGCCAACAGAAGAGACTCTGAACGTGGTGTTACAAGCGTATAGGACAACACCAAATACGAACCTAAACGACAAGACGCCAGCGGAATTGTTCTTAGGCAGAAACTTGCGCACAAGATTAAGTCTGCTACTGCCGATGTCAGAAGATGCAGAAGATCCTCTCACGCAAAGACGACGAGAACGTATGAAAGATCAATTCGACAAGAAACATGGAGTATGTCGAAAGGAATTCGAAGTTGGTGACTTGGTATACGCTAGGCAGATGAAAGGAACCGTAATGAGACGTATTGGGCGTGTCAATTATAAGTTATGGTTGGTGATGAGATATGCAAGAAGCATGCAAATCAGCTGCGGCATCGAAGCGATAGCGAACAGCTCGCCGTGCGACAACAACTTCATCAACAGTCCGAAGCCTTGTACTCCTAGATGTTTTGACAGAAGACGACACTCTACGGAGGAATAGCAGTACAGCCGACGAGAATTCCGAGCAAGCGATCGCAAGCGATGTGCCAGCACCGTGGATTCAACGACGTCGACGTCGACAACAAGCCACGAGCCGTCCACGCCACCGACAACGCTTCGCAGGTCGAGCAGAACGATAAGACCGGTACAACGGTTCCAACCTAGTCCATATTATGTTGTTGTATGTTTGTTTCATGAGTTTTGTAGTTGTTAGAATTTCTATGTATGACCCATTTCTTAGCTGTTCATATTTGTAGTTCAAGCTTTTATCGTAGGCTAGTTTGTGTAACTACCCTACTGGGGGAGGTGTTGTGTTAATGTCTGATCAGTCGTTTTCTCGTATGATCTGCCCTCGCTGAGTCGCCTGCGACCTCAATGCGCGGGAAATGAGCGCTATAAAAGGCGCTCCCTGTTAGCCATGGTCAGTTCGTCTGTTCACTCATCTGCCTCTCTTATCTTTAAGTGTTCTATTATTTTCTAATTAATATTCCTTGTTCCTCGTGTGCTACCTCAGGACGAAGAGTCGACGTGTCCGACGCGGAGGACACAACAACTTGCCTTACTTTAGCTTTTTATCAATTTGCAAGCTTATGGCAACAAACGATTCGCACGAAATGGTCTCTGTTTGTCAAATTTATCGCATCTGATTATTTAGAGATTCCGTCCATGCGGTATTGGTGAGTGACGCCGTACCTACCATCCAGGACAAAAGTTTTTGCACTGAAGGTAGTATTACGTTGTTTTTACAATCTGTTCTTTCAAAATCATGCAGACCTGTTCCATGGAAACTTGCAAATGCTATCATCACGCAATCCAAAAATCTGTTTGAGGGCACTACTACTTTATAAATGTGGCAGCCTTCTCACAAATGTTCCTGTTGTCCTCAAGTTAACAGTGGTAAACAAGAAAAATCAAACAATGCTTCTAAGGAATCGGTAACGGTAACTACGTAACTATAATATACCAATCCGCATACAACCCACAATCAAGCGTTATATGCAGTCATCCAAAAGAATCTCCTAACTACAATACGAGTAACATTTTGCGAGATTTGATGGAAGGCCTAAGTCGTATAAGTGTAATGCTGAGGGAAGGTCGTCAAGCACATCAAGCATGTCTGTACGTTTTTGTAAAAGGTCATGGGGGAGATATGTATTCATGGGGGAGAAATTGTCTTGGAAAAACGGAGGAAGGGCTAGGAGGGTTACGCTTTCACTGCCTGGGTATGCATACATTTTGAAGGTCTTTCAACCAAACTGTAAGGTTGAGACTGTAATATACATCTCTTGAAGAGAAGAAGTTGTCAAAATCTACTTGAATTTTGTTAAAAGAGCTATTGGGAGAACAAATCAGGACTCACTGAGAGAGATCCTGAGAGTAGGGAAAAGTCAGAGGGGGCAGGAAATCTGACGACAGATTCATAATCTATTTCGAATAGTTACCCTTTGAAATTGACAGAGCATTAGTCTTGGCAAACTTGCACAGTTGCTGTCATTTTGAGTGGGGACTAAATTCACCATCTTCGGCGAAACAAGGGTGAGCCTTGTAGGATTAGACAGGACTAATAACTGCATTCCTGTACTGATACTGTACTTTTGTGAAATATTTTCTTATAGAATTAATCTTCTACAGCTTCGAAATTATGGAATAAGTCAAACATGTAGAGTTTTATTTTAACTGTAATCCTTTACGTAGCGAAAATTCGAGAAATAGTGACCACATGATTCTTGATCACTTCTCAAACGTTCACGTATCTTGCGCACATGGAATCTTCCTCATCGCGTTGAAGGGTGTAGCAAACATCGCCAGGACGACACGTTTGATTGGAGTTTTCAGTGGTGAACAAGGCGCATCCGCCCGAAATCTGCGATAAAGTGATACATCTCTATGTTAGTGGTTATTAGGCTGCAAAGGAAGTTCTTAGGCACTTGCGGATTATTTTTTCAAATTGGTCTAACTTTGAGCTAGTTCCGAGTGGTGAAACTGCAAAGAACTTGCTGCAAAGAATATTGTCGATTAGGACTTTTTTTTATTGGCTACAGCATTTCATTTCGGACACGATTATGCGGAGTAGAAAAAATGTCTATTACAATATGGCATTTTGTTCTGTCGTTTTGCAGCATTGTCTGAGGCATATGAGAGCTAAAGAGCTCATATGAGGTGATTGTAAAGGAAATCACTGGAGCTGTTATGAGGGCAAACTACCGCTAGACACCGTCTGCAAGAAAAGGTTCAAAAAATAGAGATATTGGCAATTTCATGCACACATAATCATTCTGTTTGCGAACAACTCCAAAGCCTTCCGCTTCTGCACGAAGTACTCCATTTTTTTATTCGCAAAATTTGTTTAGCTAATGTCTTGCACATTTTTTTTGACTCACCACGTTAGCGTCGCTATCCATTATCCGACGAGCGCGAAGAAAGTAAAGAAAGTGTTGTCAAAAATTGATCTAACACCTTAGAATTTTTGTGGGCTTACTGCAAGATTCAAGCGCAGCTGGAAATTTGAAATCGAAGGCTTTTTCGATTAATCGAAAGTATACAATTCTCTTCATTTATTGCGAAAAATTGGATGCAGAAACGTAAAACTTTCATGTTGAAAAGATTTCTTTTTTGTTTCTGCAAGCAAGCATACTAGAGAGCCTTTGACATCCATAAAAACGTAAGGTGCAAAAACCTTGATTTTTCCCGCAAATCTTACGAAGAACGTGCCACTAAAATTCGATACGAAATTTTGAAAGGGCTTGAAGGTATCCGCGCAACCTTATGTTGTACCTAATTCTATCGCTTAGTCTTTAGCACGTGCTGTAGAGGTCAAAAACAAAGAAAAGGACTTTCTCGAGATCAGATGTTTCCTGAACAGGGAGTCGAATGTCTTTCCTTACTATTTTATTGGCACAAATAAAACAACAGATGAAAATCTCTGAACGCAGAATGTCAGAATGTCTCACAAGAGCCGTTCACCAAGAGAGTGCACAACAAAATATTCTGATGCCTTTGGCGCTATTTCTATCTAATTCAAAGGGTAAAGATTGTTTAACCGACTAACTTTTCTGTAAGCAAGTGCAATGCACTTGTTGTTCTCGTAGCATGCAGCAAAGCATCCGCTCTCGTTCTTGTGCATCTCTTGATATGATATACCCAGTACAAACTCGGCTTTGTCAAAAACGTAGGATGAAACCCATCCAAACTGAAAGGAACAGAACTGGTAAGCATCTGTGACAATGAGCCATTTGATGAAACTTTACCTGAATACAAAGTATGAAGAGCGCTAGCCGCTTCATCGCCGCTTAGGATGGCTACCTCCGTATACAATGACAAAGACCTTCTGCTGGAAGTGAAAGTTAAAAAAAAAACATTTGTTTCTAGGAGATTTGACGTACACATGCTAATCGGTTGTTATTATTTGATTTAGTTTTCAGTGGAGGCTAGCCCGTTCCGATGATGGAAAGCTCTCTGCAACAAAAGAAAAGTTCTTCGGTTGCAGCTTTCAATACCTAAAAATAGAAAAACTAGCAAAACTAGCAACGAAGCCATTTCTCACCTCGTTGAAGAAGTCTAGCTATGTGATTAAGGATGTGGCAAATAAATATTTGATTTATTGATTATTAATTTGATTTATTCTTTACTTTTGGAACAACCTAGTAGAATTCCTGCGGCTTACTCAGGAACTTAGCGGAAACTTCAGGCCTCAACAAAAGCCTCCCCTGATTTTTCTCTAGAAAACGATTTGCAGCTTGACCCACCCTGACTCAAATTCGGTATGGAAGCTTCCGATCTTTGAGCGTCATTGTAATAGTATTTATTTCCAGCGCTGTGCAGGTCGTTATGTTTAGCAACGCGCATGCAAGCGAAACTTTGGCTGGCTTTATCAAGTTTAAATCTCCATCGCGCTCTTGGTAGAATGCATGTTTTCACTTTCTATGATATTTTTCATTTGGTTTGTTTTTATAATCAGCAAATAACCTTTGTTTGTGATGGTCAAAGGACAGCATACTCAACACTTGTGATAAACATAACAATGAAAATTAAAAAAATATAATGAATGGTTCGAAGTGCGACAAATTATTTTTATTACATTAGGAGATTTATTATTTTTATTACAGCAGGAGAGACGCAGACTGCGTCGCGGACGCGAGCGGTCTCAGATAGGTCACAAAGCCCTGCCTTCCAGCCACCAAGCCAGCTGAATCAGAGGTCATATTTGTATTTGCTCTACAAATTTTTATCACAAAAACGGCTCAAGCTTCTTCCTTATTTCATAAGGAAGGTTTATTTCATAAATTTGCATACAAATCAAGAGGTCTGCTGATTTTTTGGTTAACGCCACCTTTCTTCACGCACAAAACTTCTTTGCTCCTCTCTTTCGGAAAAATGCCACTGCCGCTTACTTCGAGAAAGATACAGTCAAGTGGATTTGGAGTAGACGGTGCACTTGCAGAAGCGGCAGCACTTGAGCATGAACAAAGTGCAGAGTGCTGCAAAGTGCGAAGCTCCAGGTAACTTCAGTGATTTCTTTACTCATTCTTCATTTTCCAGCTCTACCTCGATCGACCAAGAGTAGAAGGTAAGTAGAGACCAGCTTCCGTTGTTTTGAATAGTTATGTCGTACGAGTTCACTACCTCCTGGTAGATGCATCGCATTAGGTGTTTGTGACGGAACCCTTCCTTTCATTCTTTTTCTATCAAAAAACGTTTCTTTTCAACGCTAATGATTTTCTTCATCATTCGACGTTCCTTACATAAAGTACTGATGTTCGACATCACGGAAATTTTTGATAAAGAAGAGATGGAAGGAAGGGTGACGTCACTAACACCTAGTGGGGCAGCTACTAGGAGATAACCTTTGATTTGACTGGCTTGGAGGCTGGAAGGCGGGGTTTGTGACCTAATTAAGGCCGCCCGCGCCCACGACGTAGTCTGCGTCTTTCCCGCGCACGTGCTCTCTGATCATTACCTAGCCTCGATTAGGTCACGAAGCCCCGCCTTCCAGCCGCCAAGTTAGTTGAATCAAAAGCTAAATCCTTTTCCGTCCACTGCAAGCGCAAATTTGTACCTACTCGTTATATCCAGCTCGGGAATCATAGAGTTCGAAGTAGCGGCGCGCCGCACCACCACCACCACCACCCTCTACACAGGCAATCACAATTGGTGATTCTGCTTTGTCTTTTTTCATGCATTGCATCCAAAGAAAATAAATTCAACACATTCACGACAATACGACCCGCTAGTGGGCTGTAAGATTCCTGAAGCTCTAGCTTTGCCTGTTTACTATGGAATTCTACGAACTTCTGGCACAAGATTGGGGACACCTAGGCGAAGCCTAAGCCAGAGTGGTCCGCGCTCGGGGCCAAAAACAAAAATAAATCATTCTTTGATAATCAGCGCCTTCGTTTACCCTTCTGGGAACATTCTCGGAGACATGTTTAGAACTTTTCTCAAAAAGACTACCATCGGACAATACGGCCCGCGGGTGGGTCGTAAGCTTGACAAAGCGAAAAAGGCTCTGGTCCGAAACGGCAGTAATCGAAAAATCGAACTTGTCATGAATGCGTTAAGAAACATGTGTTAAGAACTCAATATTTATTCGATTATTAGAGAACAATTACTTCTAAATTGAAGTGAATTTTATCTCTGCACCGCCTTCTAATTTTTTTCTGTTTTCCACAGCCGTTCCACTTCTTCGTAACACTGCTCCACGCATTCTTCTATGCTTAGCTTTTCCCTTCTGTATCTACCGTTGCGGACTTTGCAGAAGTCGTTGCACTGTAAAAATAAAAGATTGCGCAAACGCAACCGATGTTCTTAATTATCTCACATATGATGTGAACCTCGCAAGATCGGCATCGTTTGCCTCGTATGCCGTAGCAAATGCGAATACAATGAGAAATAAGCATAGAGAGCGCAGGTACATCATTCGCTTAGACGATTACCTGAGATTATATTCGATTAGATTTACATATTTTTACTCTTGCATATATGACTGCTGCAAAAAAATTTTCAAATTTTTTTTCTGTGCCTTTCATGTTTTTGTGGAGCAACAGGAATCAATGAAATTGGATAGATTAAAAGCAATTTGAGTACTTCTAAGCAGATATTCATTAGGGCACCTTATTTAGAAAAGACGCGTTTAACAATATTGTAGGGCAAAAGAATGTCAGAAAAGGTCAAGAATGAAATTCAGAGAGCCTTTGGGCTTCATGTGGACCGGTCTGCATACGAAATAGAGTAAGAGTTACAACAGCCACTGATCACAGAATCTCTACAAAACCACACCTACCGACTGGAAATGAGGAATATACGGTTTGACAATCACCTCCTCTTTTATGTTTCACTATTCCATTGATAGAAGGACAAAAGCTCCCCTTTGGGTACAGTAAAAGTGGACGTGCATATTTGAATCTCTCAAAAGCCTTCAGAATGGTTGGATATTGTCTCTCCAATTATTCTATTCAGCCGCAAGCTAAACCGTGCTGTTGTCCTTTCTTTGTCCAAAGATAACAAAGAAAAGTCCCAAAAAAATGCCTTTTGAAAAGTTAGAATAGCTTCGAAAACATTAGCAATCAGTACAATAAATGCGGAAATAAAGATTGTGAAAAATAATTTCTGTAGACTTAAATATTTGATGGACCAAAGCAGACTTAGTGAATGGTATGTATGTGGCAAAATTCTAAAGCTGTTTCAGCAGCAGTCCGAATCAAATGGTAATCCAGACTAGGAAGCTTGCACAACGGATTCCGAAACTGCCAGCTTTCAACCTGTTCTCAGCCTGACTAGGTGCACATAGAACATTCCACTCTTATTCGAGAACCTAAGAGATGGGAACAAAAAGTGAGATCGTCGATTTTAGCCTTCTGTTAGGTGCTTGTTCAATGGCCATTGACAAAGAAGTCTAATTTTGCTGCGATAAACTTTCGGACTGTTTTTCTTTCGCAACAAGTCTGTTCAAACATCTTTGCCTTATTCTGCAGCTAAATAAATGGAAGTTCCTCTCTAAATAAATGGAAGTTCTCTAAATAAATGAAAGTTCCTCTATCTCTTAATCGGCTCCATACCACTGCTTTGTCTGCTCATGAAATACCAGTCCTTTACAAATTGGAGTCGAGGACAATACCTAGAATTGGATTGTGAATAAAGTTTTACAATAAACAATAGTTCTTTGACGACATATTAGACTAGTATCTAGCTACCACATATCTTAATTTCTAAAGCTAATTATGCAAAAAATGTATTGGAAACGGCACATTTATCTTTATTCCTCAAAAAGGAATTTTGTTATCATGACACACCATAAATGGCTGACCAGAGAGACTCTATCACCCTGTGAACGTGAGAACTCATATGATAATCTTCAATTTTGTTGAGTCTACAGTCTCATGACGGCAGGGTTGCGTATGTTCCAACGTTTTCATCCTCACTATCAGAAGCTTGAAGGCGATCAAAGCATGATTGTTTCTCTTTGATTAGTACAAAAGCCTTCGACTTACTAAAGAACTGTCAGAATGAAGCTGAGCCTATCATGTACCACAACTGAATAAAATATTCACTGAATGTGAGCGGCACACGCTTGAGCTGCTGCAGAATAACTATTAGGATCTAACAGAATTAATGCAGGTTTTTCTTACAACTATTTCAGAATGCTGTTTTAAAACAGGAAACCATTTTCCTAGAAAGCTTCATTCATGTATCATTTGAAACCTCTTTTCTTCTAGGTTGTTTCTGCTAATCAGTATACATACAATACACCTCAAGTTGATTCCTTTAATTGTGATGAAGCTCCTCGCTCTCCTCGCTTTCTCAATTGGAACATCAGGGCCTGTAGTAATCTACCCCAGAAAGTCACAACATATATGAGCTAAGCTCACGACACTCATTCTAATTACGAACTTAGCGCGATCTTAGCGCAAGCCCAATTGTCTCCGCAAAACTTGCACGCTCACGGGCATCGTATCTTTGACGTGATGATTGCGAACAGCGAGCACAACCACTACGCTATACCAACCGATTTGTTGGCAAGCGTTTGCAATACATGAATGCAAAAGCATGTTCCACCTCTTCCTTGAATGATGTTTTTTGTTTATAGCGTTAAAAAATCCAAAATTTTCAAGAAGACATTTCTTCACCTCTTCAGAAAATTTTAAAAAATGATTACTTTCAAAATTTTTCAAATATCTTCTAGCAAAAATTTCTTCATAAAACTCCAGTTCAGCACCGCTATACTATCGACTATATGCTACACAAGAAGTAATGTCTGGGCTATCTTACTGCACTTAAGAGTATATTATTTTCTCAAAACGAAGGTCCTTCAAAAAATCTCCTGGCATTGTTCGGGTTATAAATTTCTTCTCGGTGAAGCTGCAACAACGCGATAGTGCAAACTGAGTAGCTAAAGGTTTGGTGATTACAATAGTTTTCATCGCACACGAAAAAATCGTCTGTGTAAAATGCTATAAAGATCCGCATTAATTCTGTTACAACCTAATACAAAATGGAATAACCTCCACTAAATCTACGAGGAACTATCACTAACAATCACTATCAGGAACTAAAAACTATCACCAACATCGAAAAGTATACTTTTTGTAAGCCACCTCGTCCCGTGCTATCGAAGCACATCAGCCTAACTACATCATAATCTACTTGTTTCGCCATCAGAGTTGGCAGCAAACCATTAAACCATTTGAAAAAAAAATGTAACCTCAACCTTATTTTGGTGGTTGTTCATCATCTACGTACACCAAATCTTCCTGCACTACTGCCGTCCAGAAACTTCAAGTACGCAATCGCTTTATGAAAAACTCTCCGGAAGCTGTTATAGATGCCGTCAAGTCCAGGGAATGGCATGTCGATCGAAACGATTCGAAAGAAGCAGCGGTCGCTGTCAGTACTATAGATATGACCTCTCAGTGTGTTCACGTTTCTGAAGTGTTCTGGACAGTGGTTGAGAGATAGGGCTACCGACCACTAATGCCACCAACCTACGCTTAGAGCGCCTAGCAAGATAGCAAAAAGACAAAAACACTTCCACGATAATACAAAGACGCGCATTGTATACAGTAGGACAAGATGAGGAATGTATTTAGTAATGGCCAAATATGACTACCCCCACAATCGTCGGTTGCCTCAACGCGGCGTGGGGGTGACACTAGGTGTCGAACTGCGATGCACAGCCGGATGTATACTCTAGTAGGGCCCTCAAGCTGTAAAGGAGTTTGACGTTTCCACTTTCGGCCGGTTGTCTAACTAAGAGCCGGCCAAGCCAGATCGCCCCGCCGTCTGGATTTCCGCTGCTAGGCGGTTTTCTTCCACACCCGGGTCAGCGATTGCCTTGGAACTTAAGAGTAGTGTTAGTAAGTCTGTTCTGATAGGGGAAATATTCTCATAACTTTACCAGTTAGAAAAAAGATTTTACATATGGGATCCGGCCTACGGCATGCATCCGGTTTTTTCCTGCATTTGCGAAGCGATGTACTATACAAATTATGTCTAATAGGGTATTTCATTTATATATGCGCGAAAACACGTAAACATGAAATCAAACGAAGACGAAGACTATAAAAATTTCACGGATGCGAAAAAAATCACTTTGATTCGAAGTTGTTTCTGTCAATTGGTATACATTATATGTTAGTTTCTTCAGACATGATGAAGCTCTTCGTTTCTCTTGCTTCCTCAGTTGGAGCATTAGAAGCATGCTCGTGTGCTACCTCTTCCTTGAATAATGCTTTTTGTTCTTCAAAGTTTGGTAAGATGCGGAAAAGGTTTGATGAAACACTTTCATGGCTATTGTTTGCATTTCAGTTACTCTCTAAAGGTTATTTTCAAGAGAAACCGCTTTAATTATTCAAATGGAAACCAAGATGTCGCTTACACTGTAAAGCATAAACGTACCTTCAGAGTCAGCCAGAAATTCATTTTAACCTTATTAGGAAAGCAAAGCTTATTAGGTTTAGAAGACATTCAACGGCACAGAATTTTGGTGGGAACCAAGTGTCGTAGGCGATAGTGGTGTCGATAATAATTTATCCACAGACGAACCCGGTGTTGAACCGGAGGAGCAACCTATAATACAATCGATGGCTCCTTATATAGGTAGTAAGGCGGAGCTGACCCGTGCACAATCGGAATGTCCAGGAAATATAGGCAAGAAAGAGGATGCCGCGGCTTGGCGCGGCCCCTGGAAGATAGGTGCCACTCACTGGTAAGTGATTCGGCACTTAAATATAAGCGGTTGGGGAATATAGCCTATGGGGAATACCGATGAGCTATTAGGACTACAGAGTCGTTGAGGTTGATGATACATAAATCATCAACACTCCGGGCGAGCAAGGAGGAGGCGAAATCTGTTGAAATGTAAGTAAATAAATACAATCAAAACCTCTTAAAAGCATATGTACTTGAAGAGATATACCGTTCATGAGTGTAAGCTATTAGATTAGTTGCCGAGGTTGATGATTCATAGATCATCAACACTCCGGGCTAGCAAGCAAAAAGTTAAGGTAGGCACAAGTACAACAAATGCATAGAATTGTGTAGATTTAGACATATTAATGGAAGCTATAGACAGAAGAGAGTTTACGGTGAACAGTTGTAGTGGTTGCTCGTTGCTGTTCCGTGGTATAGCTTCGCCTTTCGTCGACGTCTCTTCTTCCTCATCGGATCTGCTCTCGTCGATTTCAAGTTGACAGAATCGTTGTCGGTGATTGCCTTCGTGATAGTTGGTGTTTCCGTGATCAGATGGTTGTGATGTGTGATCTCGGGCATTTCCGTCATCTTTATCTTAGCTCGTGTCGTCGGTTGAAGTGTTCTGGCAAGAGTTCCATTCGCACTCCTCGTGTTGGAGCTGGAACTAGAGCCTAATATGCAGCGAACTTTGACCAGCCATCGTTGTCTGTCTGCCTTAGCTTCGCGCTTAGCAGCAGCTGTCCGGGTTTT